TTTTTTTTTTAATCTTTTTGTTTTTCTTTCTTAAGGCTCAAGGTTATTAAAAAATAGAGTTAAAAATCTCCTCCTGGCTGGTTTTGCTATTAGTTAGAAAAATAAAGCCTCTCCCATGCTCGTCCCCGCACAATCTCAGCTCGCATCTCCCACGCTGCAGAGCTGACCATCGCTAAGCCTGACGCTGGCCACTTAACAGAGCTTTGTGCCGAGTTAAAAGCACGCCGTTTTGCTTTTTTATTTTTAGAGAAAAAAGACACTTATCTATACAAAAATACCTCTGACTGCAAGAAAACCTAGGACTGCTCCACTAAGTGTCATTTTTTAGCTGTTGGAAAAATAAGAGCATTTAAAAAAATCTCTAAAAAATATGTATAAATCCCCTCAAATTGGTAACGAATCATACACAGTACATACTAAAAAATATTTAAAATAGAGAATATTACTCACAGAGGACTGAGTTTTCTCTTTTTTCCCCCCCATTTTTTTTCTTTTTTTTTTTTTAATTACTGCTAAAAAAAAATAATTACAAAAGTCCAGAGAACAGACAGCTGAGCTGGTTGGTTAGAAATCTCATCTCCACGCCGCGCCCTGGAAGCAGAGTTAAAGTCCAGTCCTTGGAAAGTCTGTACCGAGTTTTGCTGGTTCTCGGAGCAGTCTGGCCACTTCCTGGAGGATGCTGTAGTGCAGAAGGCTTGAGGCGCTCTCTCCTCCCTGCCAGCTTTAACTTTAGCATCTTTTTTTAATTATTATTTTAATTTCAAAGAAGGAAAAAGTCTGAGGAAGTTCTCCGTTGTTCTTCTTGTCGCTTCTTTCGTGCTTTTTTGATTTTTTTTTTTTAAATTTCTTTTTTTTCTTTTTTTAAATGGCTTTAGGGTCTGGTGAGCTGTGGGTAGACGGGCTGTTCCCAGTGCTGCGGGCTGTGGGTCTGGGGGATGGAGGGGACCCCAGAAGTGTCTGCAATGGGGGTGTACATAGGGCGCTGCGTGGGGTTCATGTAGGTGAAGGTGGAGTAGAGGCTGCTGCTCTGGCCGGCGGCG